ATAAATGGAATCATGCAGCATTTGTTCTGTGACTGGCTAATTTCACTTAGCATAGTGCCCTCAAGGTTTATCATGTTGTGGCATATGACATGATTTCCTTTTTAAGGCTGAATAATATTCCATCTTATGTATGTACATACCATAGTTCCTCTATACATTCATCCACTGATGTACAGTTAGGTTGTTTCCACCTCTCAGCTATTAGGAAGAGTGCTGTAGTGAACACTGGAGTGCAACTATATCTTTTGAGATCCTGATCTCAAAATCTTTGGGTATCATATAGTAGTTCTATTTTTAACATACTGATCAACCTCCATACTGTTTTCCATAATGGTTGTACTAATTTACATTCATAGCAACAGTGTACAAGGATTCCCTTTTCTCCACATCCTTGCCAATATTTATTTTTTTGTTCCTTTAATAATGGCCATCCCAGCAGGTATTAGGTGACATCTTATTGTGGTTTTGATTTGCAATCCCCTGATGATTAGTAATGTTGAGCATCTTTTGATATACCGGTTGACCATTTGTACGTCTTGTTTGGTGAAATGTTTATTCAAGTCCTTAGCCCATTTTAAAGTTAGGTTATTATAATTAATTTTGCTATTGAGTTGTAGGAGTTCCTTACATATTAGGGATATTATAATTCCTTGTTAGATATGTTGTTTGCAGATATTGCCTTTTCACTCTGTTGACTGTTTTCTTTGCTATGCAGAAACTTTTTAGTTTGATGTAGTCTAACTAATTTATTTTCTATTTTGTTGTCTATGCTTTTGGTATCAGTGAAACCAATGTGCCATGCAGCTTCTCCTCTATGTATCCTAGGAATTTGGGGGATGTCCAGTTTCCCCAATACCATTTGTTGAAGAGACTATCCTTTTCTCATTGCACATTGTTGTACCCTTGTCAAAGATCAGTGGACTGTGTATGTGTGGGTTAACTTCTGGGCCTTCTATTAGGTTCCCTTGGTCAATATGTCTGTCTTTATGCGAGTTCCGTACTGTTTTGATTACTGTAGCTTTGTAATATGTTCTGAAATCATAAAGTACAGGACCTCCATCTTTGCTCTTCTTCTTCAAGATTGCTTTGGCCATTTGGTATTCTTTGTGGTTCCATATGAATTTTAGGACTGCTTATTCTAATTCTGTAAAAAATGTTATTACAATTTTGTTAGGAATTGCATTGAATCTATACATTGCTTTGGGTAGTATGGACATTTTAACAATATTAAAGACTTCCAACCCATGAAACATGGGATATCTTCCCATTTATTTTTGTCCATAAATAAACTGAAAAATGGATTCAGTAAAGCTGTACAACACAAAATCAATATATAAAAATTGGTTACATTTCTATACGCTAACAATGAACAATATAAACATGAAGTTAAGAACACAATCCCATTTACAATAACATCAAAAAGAATAAAATACTTAGGAGTAAACTAAACCAAGGAGATGAAAGACTTTTACACTGAAAATTATAATACATTGCTGATCTCCTTTTAAAAAAAACTGACCTATCCTCTTAGGACCATGCTAGGTCATGCATAAGCTAATCTGATAAATAAATTCAAATTTAGTTATAAATGGCTTGCTAGTTCAGACTTCTCACATATTGACCAGGAGTGCACTAACCCAAAGGTATGTGTGATAACGTAATACTGTCCGAACTGCCTGCAGGTGAAATATTTTAACATTTAAAAATTATAAACTTCAACACTTGATTGCTGTATGTAGTATAAAACCAGCCTTTTCTGTGTCTCAGCATTTGGACAAGAGCACATACATTATCAGGTATAAATACAAATTGTTTCTCTTGGAAAACCACTCTGAAATTTTAATGTAATTTGGTGAGGACACATCATTTCAGGTTTCCCCACATTGCATACATACAGAACTTTTCAGTGAGTTTGGGAAAATACAGTTTAGAAGGAGGTGCAATAAGGAAAGAATGGAATATTTTTGGATCACTTACCATGTGCTAGATGATTGGCATGCATATTTCATTTAATCTTTGGCCCAACTCTATGAGGTAGATGTCCCATTTTACAGATAAGGAAATTAAGGCTCAGGTAAGTAGTGTCCAAGTTCACTCTTGTAAGTGAGGATTTGTAAGTGTGGATTTGAAGCTGAGTCTGCTTGTCTCAAAGCCTGTTCTTTCCCCTTTACATACCAGGTGGCTGCCAGCGAACTGGTGGGGTAGAGAGGTGGGTGATGAGGTCTGCAACCTGAGGGGGCCTTATGAGTTACAAGCTGCCCTGTCCAGGAAGGCTTCCTGGGAGGGGTAAGTTTGAAGAAACTGCTTGCTATCCCTGAAGTGGCAACTTTTCAGTAATCTCCAATTTTATGGCCAAACATCAGGTTACAGAAGTGGTGAAATCAATCTTGCGGGTTGCTTAACTGTTCTCAGGTGCATTTTGTGGTCTTTATCATCACTGGATAGTTAGGTCCACTAGGAGTGGGCCTGCGAACCTGAGGAGGCAGGGAGGTAGGGCTCCACATAATTTTCCTCCAGACACTGGGCACAATTGTCCTGGAGATCACAGAAGATCTAATCTATGTGCTTTTTAAAAAAATTATAAAACAATCACTTCAGTTTCATAAAAGGATCATCCCCTCTCTCCACCATTATTGAAAGTGGCAGGTTCTGGTTGAATGAGAGGAACTTGGTTGAGTGACTTCAAGATGTTCTCAAGTATCCAAAGATCCTTTTACTTCTCCTTGATGGGTCCTCATTGTCATTTATTCTGCCCTCCTGGGAATATTAGTGCACTTGATTCTCTAGTTTTTCAGCTCATGATATATTTACTATTAACCAAAACTTAGCTTTATGCCTTAGCATGGCAATTAGTGAGAGGCCTTTAAAAAAAGTTTAAAGTAGATTAAATTCATTAAAGGGTGAATAATAGAAGACAAGACCCCTAGAGGTTTTTCGTAATTAGGATGAAATTCTGTCATGTGCCAAAATTTGATTACATCATCATTTGATATCTCCTTGTTGACTTATTAAAACTGGATCTAAAAAATGTCATAATCTCTTGTCCTGATAGCAGATCTTTCTGTTATGATGCCACTCCGTCTGGCAGCCTCCTCATCCTGTGGTTATTATTCTCACTGGGTCTCTACAGCACCTACGACTCAACGCATGGTGGCTGCTCACAGACTCACAGAACTTCCAGGGCCACTGACAGCCTACTGGCCACACTGTCAATCCCAGCAAGGCTCTTTCCTGCTTCGTCCCCTTCCCACCCGCAATGGCAGTTACTGCTGCATGAGCTTTATCCTCATGGGTGTTAGAAGTCCAGAGCGATTTCCTGCTGGTAGTACGTGGATGTCGGGCACGCTACAGCCCGTGGGCATGGGTTTCGGAATGTCCTCTCACAATTCTTTCCCTGTACTGATGAAAAACTTCCCGGCTTCTGGCACCGCCACTCTCACTGGGGGGGTCACCAATTTAATCTAAATTTAATGGATAACACTCAGATAATGGTAGTTTTTCTGATTTGCCCCTCCCAGGCTTTCTGCCCCCTCTTCCCCCCTTACCCTTTAACGAAGGAAGGAGAAGACACGCACTAACATCCCCGTACCACCCCAGGTTCTTTTTTGGCACCTGGGGACCATCGGGAAGAACTGATCAACTTCAAAGAGCTGTTTCCGGACACCTTCAGAGCTGAAGAATTGTTTCATGCCCACTTTACCCACGGATGTCAGAGAGGGGGAGAGGGCTCCGAGCCCGAACAGGAAAGCCTGACATCACGGAGCGGCGTGGGGAGGAGTCCGGGCCCTGGCCCGCCCGCCCGCGCGCTGCGCTGCCTTTGTGGCCGAGTCGCGCGCACTGGCGGCGGGGCAGCGCGGCGCGTGTCTGAGCTCGGGCGCGGCGGCCGCGCGGGGTGCGGGCGGCGGGCGCCGCGGGCTGAGCGGGGCCGGGGCTGCGTGGGCCTCGGAGCAGAGCGCATCATGCCGCGTCCACGTACCGAAGAGAAAACTGAGAATGAAATTGCTTTGGCAAGCTAAAATGGTAACGAGAACCCCCCCGGCTTCTCCCGAGGCTGCTCTGCTGGGGAATCTTCTCCCGCTTTCTCTGGGCGTGTTTGGACTGCGTCGGAGGGAACGGAGCAATCCGATCCCAGGCTTGGGAGCTGAAGCTTTCTCACTCTGCTTTGTGTGCCTTCTTGTCTGCGTGTCTTCTCCCTTTAACGATGCCTACTTTCTCAGCCATTGCCTGTGGTGTATCTGGGGCAGATGGATGTCAGGACAGGAAAACTTTTAAGGAAAGAACTGTTCATCCGGGTGAACGGCGGAGCGCTTCTGCGTCCCAGCGGCTCTTTCACACAAAGTTTACCAGGGACGCGGAGTTCCAGGGAGTCGCTGCACGCGTTTTGCTTGAAACTGCGTGATGATGTGTTGCATTTTCTGCACTTGCCAGATATTTTACGGAACTAAAAACTTTTTACCTCCCCTCTCCTCCCACCTCGCTAACTTTTGGGGTCCTAAAACAGTGAGAGCAGAAAAAGACATGGGAAGCATTTCACATCCAAGGGACTGAGGACTCTTGGCATTTGAAATACTTGTGTTTGCGTTTAAAACGTAGTTTGTTCAACTAACTGGCCAATGATAAAAGTGCAAACTTTTTTTTACAAATGAATTATTTTCATTTCACTTAAGGAAGAAAAAATTTAACCACGGTTTCTTTAGGAAAGAAAAAAAGAAGACTTAAAAAATCTACTTAAAATACGTGAGCAAGTCTAGGAAAAATAACTAGATGGAAAAGTTTGGGGATCCTGATACCACAAGGAAAGGGCTGAGGGCCAAGAAAATCTCAGCATTCCCTCTATCGCAATGTGTCTTGTGTTGCTCTGATTGTAATATTTATTTTGAACAGACCATCTTGTGCTGGGAGTGCTGATGTAAGCAGCAAAGCAGCTGGGATAGATTGTGGCTAGCAGAAAGGAAAAAAAAATACTCTTTTTCTTTCTCTTTATCCCATCCCCCTGGCAGAGCTCGATTCAGGACTGGGGTGAAGAGGTAGAGGAAGGAGCTGTTTACCATGTCACCCTCAAAAGAGTCCAGATTCAACAGGCTGCCAATAAAGGAGCAAGATGGCTAGGGGTGAGTAAAGCTGGAGAGACTGCGGACTTTGGAGTTGCAGTGTCTGGTCTGTGAATATCATTATTATTTAGCAGGGGTAGGCTTTTTTTTTTTTTTCCTTTCTCTTTTGGCCTTAAAAAGGAAACTGCCAAGTGTTTGCACTAGCTGTAGAGGTCTGTTTTTGTACTTAATGTTTTCCAAAGCATCTTCCCTAGGTTTGTCAATAATTCAGAGCCTCTTCGAAACTTCTTGAGGTATTTGGCAAATAGAGAGGGGATGGAGCAGCAGAAAGTGACACAGAGTAACAGGATCAGAAAAATTGGCACTGTTACACAAGAGCCATAAGCAGTTTTGTTCCCGTGGTCCTCCTCTTTCCTGTCCTTGCCTGTTGATGCTGACCGCTCCTCTCCTACTCCTGTAGCTTGATCAAGTACCCAGAATGCTTGGGCAACCGTTCCAAATCTGCTTCCTGGATGTGTGTGCGGTGGTGGCGGGTGGCAGGTTCCCCCTGTTGCCCACTCTCTGCAGCCTGTGAGGAGGCAAATGCGTGCGTGCGGAGAGCCCACGACCTCTTTGCAGAGTACATAGAGGGCCGAGTCTTTGGAGAAGCACTGAGAACCGAAAATACTGGGTGGGATCATGTGAGTTATCTGGTCTCACCCAATGGGTCCTTAAGCACATCCCCAAAAAAGGGGTGTGAGGAATGGAAAGCTGGTGAAGGACTAGTACTTGGGCAAACATGACATGTGGAAGAACGAAGGAATTCTTGATCTGGAAATCCTCAGAGAGCAGTGCGAAGTAACACAAAAAGCCTTGAGAAAGAAAATCACATAGGCTGACTAGAGGGTATGGAGCATGGTTTCAGCTGGCCTTCACTCCAGCCCTGCTTAGGCTTCCCAGGTGAGGGGCTTGAGTGCACTGAGGGTTATGCACTTGCATCCATTCTATGCTGGCTCTGGGTTTCAGAAAATTCAGAGTATGTTGAGCCGTATTCAGAGGTGGGTATGAAGGAGGACAGGAAACAAAACTGCCTAGGGCTGCACGTTAAACCAGAGGCAATGACACGTGACTTGTAACTTGGAAGTTGAAGGCAGGATGGCCAGCAGCAGTGATTTCCTCTGCCATGGGACTGCTGACCAGGCAGTCACGGCTCTGGGCTTCCCCAGCTGCTGCAACTCAGGCCTTTCCTGCTCTGCACTTTAAGCAGAGGTACCACCAGCTCGGGCTATATATAAACTGTGACACCTGCAGGTGTGGCCTGGAAAGGTAGCAAGTTTTCCTTTGAAAACCTGAGGTTCTCACTAATCAAGCAGGTACCTTACTCCGATGATGATTTTAAAATTAATTGGCTGCATTGCCAGCAAGAAAGCAGAAGTAGAGCTCTGACAAGTCATCACTTTGCTTTTGGTGGTTGTGTATATGCATATTATTTAAATGTGGTGTTGATGTGGTTTGGCCTGTCTGGATATTTCAAAATGATTCACAAATTCTGAACCAGCTGCCTTCAAAAGGGTCATTACATTTCCTGAAGCTGGCTGGCTCCCCTCTTTCTAATGACACTGATGTTGCTTGGGTGACAGTTTTAGTTTTTAGCTAAACACAATAGCAGCGAATGAGCAAGTCATGGGGAAACGGCGAGGTTAACTCTGTAGGCCCCAAACACACAGAGTACGGATCACTGAGCGGTTCACGGTTACTCAGTAGTTCTCACTGACTGTTGTGTTCACTGGTCTCCATTTCTCTCCCCCTCTCCCAGTGTTCTCAAATTTACACATGGTTCAGAGCTGGTTCACCCGGATTTAGCAGTAGGGCTGAGATATTGAGACAGGATAATGTACAAAGATTGCTTCTAGTTGATGGAGGAATCTCTCCCTTCCCCCCATTTCCACACAGTGTGATTTGCTACTACCAACCCGGTCCCCGAGAGCAAGTTCGCAGGCGCTCACCTACTCTTAACTCCATTTGTTTTCTTGTCTTAGGTGTCCTGTTGGGAAGCTCTGTTCTTGTTCTTGGAAATTCCAGGCTTAATTAAATGTGATTCAACCAACTGAGCTATAGCAATAACAAAACCTTCCTCTTCAGGACTGAGAGGCTTCTCCATATTTGTTTCCTAAATTCTAGTAACCCTTTCAAAATTCTTCAGAGCAGCTAGTTTTAGAGTGAACTAGAGATTGAGGTGAGGTGACGGTATTGTTGAAATATGACAACCTTATGGGGAAGGTGGTATCATGGTTATCCTTTTTCCCCGCATGAGCAAACTAATAATCAGAGAGGTTAAATCACTCCAGGATAGCACAGCTAGGATGTGGCAGAGGCTGGATTCGAACCCAGATGGTTAGTTCCTGCCCTCAAGAACTGTGTGTGACCTTACGGCTGATCCTATAGTAGTGGAAGAGAACCCTGGCTTGGAAGAGCAAGAATGCTTGTGGTGTATTTTTCTCCTAGAGAATCGCACCTGGGGCAGGACTTGTGTGATGTGGCTTTCTTTTCTTTATGTTTCGAATGATACTTTGAGCTACAAATTGAGACATTTATTGTGAAGGCATATATCTTATTGACCAGCTCCTCATTTTGGATGTGTAAAGTATGGTGCCACAAAGATAGTGTGAGCTTCTACAGCACAGGAGAGGTGGGCATAGCTCTCATGCCATGTCTGTAAAGCTTACTCAAAAAACCTAAAAGACTGAGTACAATTTTTATATTTTCTAGTACTCAGATCCCAAAACATAATTAAGGCTCAGGTTCAGAAGGATAGCAAAATAGTTTACACATCCTTAGATGTGAAGTATCAGACAATCCAAAACATTTAGGGTAGTCTTTTTTGCTTTGTTTGTTAAAACTCTCTGTCCTTGACTGTAAAATATGCCACTGAGTGTGGCCCAGGCTGGGCTTACTTACCCAGGCAGCTGTAGCTTTGCCCATTGACAGTGAGGTTTTTAAAATTATTTTATTTTATTTATATTTTTTATTAAGGTATCATTGATAGACACTCTTATGAAGGTTTCACAAGAAAAACAATGTGGTTACTACACCCTTATTACTGAGTCCCCTGCATACCCCATTGCAGTCACTGACAGCGAGGTTTTGTGGGGCAACTTTCAAAAGCCAAATATTATTGAAAAATGACCCAATTTTTCCTCTGTAGTAACCAGTCAGATTGGGATAATTTTACTCGGCTATAGCCCTCAAAGAAAATTGGCTCTGATTAGGTCACAGAATTATCTTAACATTTTAGGATTGGATCACGTTAAAAAGTAATTTCACCCAACAGTTCAGTTAGCTTGTGGGATGTACAGTGATGTTTGGAAGAGCAAATGGTCAGAACTCTTCATCTTCCTCGGTCTCAGTGTTGTGATGATATAGACAGTGATATGTAGAAATGAGTTAAGAAAATATTGATATTCTCTGGAAGTAGGAAATGTACCATTTTAGGAAAAACACTCAGAGACCAGAGGAAAAGGATCCAACTGTAGGAGAGGGGCTTTGGTGTCAAGAATATGTCATTGGAATATGACAGATGCAGCGTCCAGGAAAATGTAACAAACCTATGATGAGCTCAAAGTAAGGGTATTTGTTTCACAATTGGGTTGGTAGCGCCAGGTCCCCTCTGCAAGGTTTGTGGGGAGTGGAGTGGTCAGGAGAAAGTCGCATGGCTTTTCCCAGTTCTACACTTCTGTGGTTATGTGGTCCTTGTGGTGGGGCCCTGGTGCCCGCCTCCCGTACGTCTCGTATTATCACATTACCTCCCACATAGGACCTTGTTGGGTTGAATTGAAATGCTTGGTGGCTGGAAGCTTGGTAAAGACACTGAAATAGGACAGGAGAAGGCAGAGTATATTTAGAATTAAAAGGAACTGGAAATCTGTTAGAGAACCTGGTGTTCACGGTGAACTGTGGCCAGCCAGGGGTTACATGGTGCGTTGGAAAGACAGCCACTTGTCACATGTGGATCAAGAAGGTGACTCTCGTTTAGATAGACTATTTGGATGGATCTCCCTGGTGTTTCGGTGTTGTTGCTATCCAGGTTGCCTTCCCATGGCATACAGTTCCCCAAATTTCAGTCACTTCATTTCTGGAAGCTTCCCTGCTCTGCCAGATCTGGAAGTTCCAGAAGCATTCACTCTCTCTTGTCATGCATTTACCTCACTCTGTTATAATTGCCTGTTTATATCCCCCACTAGACTGTAAGCTTGGTAAGTGGGAAATGCGGCCAATTGGTTGTCAGAAACTCAATGAATGTTTGTTGAATGAATGCATCAAGCTTCATGCCCTTTTGGGAAACTAATAGTGTCTTGATAAATATGAAGGTGTGGTAGTTCCTTTATTGAAAACAAAATCAACATGAAGATGTTACTTATTCAGAAGAGGAGGAGTGTGTGGGAGTGAGAAAAAGCCATTAGGTAATGATTATAGCTATCTTATATCTTTTCTGGAACAATGCAGGGCACAAGCAAAAGTAGAGGCTGTTTATTTTACTAAAAAACTAATTTTTTAAAAATTCAGTAGTGAATTAATGAGACAGTTCCCCAGTACCTTTTAAAAAGCAAGGGGGCCAGTTGTACTTGCCTTATTGCTGAATATTGGAGAAAGAGGCAATGCATGGGTTAAAAAATGTTGGCAAGCATTACAATTCTGTGTGGTTGGGAAGCTCAGGGGCGGGATTTTGGAACTGTAAGGAGGTAAGCCCTGGAGGAGCCCTTAGTTTACAGTAGGTCATCCTTGTTTTCATCTGGGAAAACAGGCCCTTGGGTTGCATTATTCTTGTCTATTGGAATGTTTAATTTAGGCTTTGGAAGTAAGTTTCAAACTTGAGCAGCCATCTGTAAATGAAGCAACTGGTGTTTTTTGTGTTGACCTTGCGAACGTGTTTCTAAAATGATCCAATAATATGGTAGCCTACACCAATCATGAAAATATGGTAATTGCCTGAGATACCATTATTACATTGGCTTTGTTCACTGTTTTCAAAATCTCTTGGGATCTGTGTAAGAAATATTTCTCTTGTAATCAAGAGTATTTAT